CGCCGCCGGCATACAACAACATTATCACGTTAACACGCATCGTCTGTACGTTCCAACATGGCAGTGTTGGCAGCTCGCTGCACTTGTGCACCTTTCTCCTCCCGAATGGTGGCGTATTGACTGTTGGCCAGCGGACACGACGAGCGATTACACAGGCCGGTGATGTTAAACTCGTTGCGACAGAAACTTTGAGTTTTAGTCCTGGGGAGTGGGAAAACACACACACATTCTCAAACGGTTCTAGTTGGCTTTCGCTGACATCTTCCTACTTTCTAGCATCAGCCCGATTGTTTTGTGACACACTGCGCAACAAATTCATGAAGACGTTTATAAAACTTACTTGACTTTGTAGGAACAGAACTGCCTGTTGCCTATAATGTCCCAAATCACCTGCACGGTCAGAAAACACAAGAATTTGGGTTACACGAGGACCTCCGTTATTTGTAGCTAAGAAAATAGACATTTGCAACAATGACGTCAACATCACACGAAACGTCGCGATTACAACTTGAAGCCATAAGTAAACACAAACAACAAATATTTGAGGTCGAGTATCGGGCTAGCGTGAGCGTGATACTCGCTGTTCGTTTTGGTTCACTCACGTCGTCGTGTTGCATGTTGTCTTTCTGTTCGCCGCGACGCTTAAAGCTTCACTTCTCTTCTCAAACAAGGTGGAAAGAAAAAAAAATCCCAATGATTTCAACTGACAAAATCGATTCGTTTCGGCTCACGCGAAGCACATGGACGAAAAGCGAGCTGCCATTTTTGTTTGCCTGCGACATGGACACGCCGAGATATCGCGATGTTTCAGAATATGTACGGCGATATTCTCAAGTATCGCGAGATCAATCTTAGGAGACAACCTTGATGCGTTCAATCACGGGTTTTGAAATGACCGGAAATTCAAAGTGTCAGCTGCGGAAATTTTAACTCTAGCGTAGAGTGGGATGTTATATTGCTTGGTGGTTGAAAGAAATGACATACATCACACCCAGATAGTGAACATTTTATGGGAACGTCAGCCTCGCGTCATTTCCGGCATCCAGAATCTCGGAGATTCGGGTATGGGCGACCGAGCACCGCAACTGCTAATAGAACCAAGACGCAACAACGTACACTTCAATCATCTGTCTGAGCCTGTCACATGACTTCGGTGTTGAGTTATGATTTCTATGTAATTTTTTAGGGGTGGTTCCGGTTCATGATCAGAAGGTTTTACGGTACAATGCGTAACAAGAGTAGGAGAGTACCCTTCACGGAGAGACCGTGAACGCACCAATCATCACATGCATGAACCGAAAGGATCGCCTTTCCAATATGGCGCGCACCGTTTCTATCCCACGTACCCATGTTTTACGGTAACGGTGCGCATATTGGTACGTGTAGTTTAAAGTCATTGGGACGTCACATCACCGTGAGATATTACCAAACGTGCTCTCGCAAGGAAGCGACGAGAATATGTTTCACGAGAAGAAGACGAAAGAGAAGAAAACTTTCGACAGCCGCCGCGATGCATTGCGGGTCGGCACCAACCCTCAAGGGATGGCTTTGACGTCATCGGTTGACGTCGTCACGGTTGGCCGTGAAAGTCGCCTCCCTGGAATGTAACGGTACTTAAAAGTTGGACAGTAGCTTATTGGAAGACACACAAAACACCGATTATCCAAACCTGCTGTAAATATATGTGAAAAAAAAACATATATAAATTGATCACAATAGTTTTTGGATTGTTGTTTTTTTAAAATCGATGACATAAGAGACACCGAAGAAGAACAAAAACGACAAGGAAAAAAAAAA